GGGTTTGAACCGCCAGCTGTCTGGTTAGCAGGCAAGTGTCTTAGCCACTATGCTACCAGAGCTCCTATCTTATAAAAATCTCATTAAATGAGTTTGATAAACCAAAGTACATATAGTATGTTCCAAGCCTACATATTGTCTGCTTTGGCTTCAGTTTCACACTGGTCAGCTTCACACATAAAGGTGTTGCCGATGTTCTCTTTTTTCAGTACTATATTCTTGTCCCCTTAACGGAGTGTTGCTATGTGTATGAGCTGAGGTGTTAAGTTTGCTCTGCTTGACTTTTTACCACAACTACTTCACAATTACCCCAAAAAAGGACACCAAATGCTATTTTTCATTCCAGTCCTAGAGAATACACCAAAGACCTAGCATTTTAAACTGTTTTGAAAAAAATAATTTTGATTTTTTTTGGTTGGTGGTTTTTTAACCAGGCATCTGTAAACTTCATTGTTCTTTCTATAAAAGATACAGTTTAGTATAGAAACTAAGTGCTTTCTTCCCATTCTTTTCAATCCAACAACTATTTTAATTGCTCTGCTCTCATAGTTAACGGCTTAACTGACTAAAATTGTTGAGTTTTACGTAACTAGTTGTGGCAGCTTTGCTGACCATATATTTATACCTCAAAGAAAATCAGTGCATTTTTACCTCAAGTTGAATAATGAATGGGTGTATTTCTTAAAAGTTGTGTAATACAAATTTGAATGCCCTAAAATTTACTTTTTAAAAAAGTGAGATGCTAGTTTTTATTTTAAAAAATCACCATATAGTTGTGTTTATACATAGTTTTCTTCAAGAATATTCACTATTAGAGGAAAATGTTGTTGTTCTTGTTAGGTGCCGTTGAGTCATCTCAGACTCATAATGACCCTGTGCACAGCAGAACAAAACACTGCCTGGTCCTGTGCCAGCCTCATGATCCTTGCTACACCTGAGCCCATCGTTGTAGCCACTGTGTCAGTCTATCTCATTGAGGGCCTTCCCCTTCTTCGTTGACCCTCCACTTTACCAGGCATGATACTCTTCTCCAGGGAATGGTTCCTTCTGACAACATGACCAAAGTAGGTGAGACGAAGTCTGGCCATTCTCCCTTCCAAGGAGCATTCTGGCTGCACTTCCTCCAGGACAGATTTGTTAGTCCTTTTAGCAGCCCATAGTACTCTTAGCATTCTTTTCCAACACCACAACTCAAAAGCACCAACTTTTCTTCAGTCTTCCTTATTCGTTGTCCAGCTCTCACATGCATATGAGGTGATTGAAAATACCACGGCTTGGGTTAGGCACCTTAGTCTTCATGGAGACATCTTTGCTCTTCATCACTTGAAAGAGGTCCTTTGCAGCAGATTTGCCCAATGCAATACATCGTCTGATGTCTTGACTGCTGCTTCCATTGGTGTTGATTG